GCAGTGCTGCCCCTGGACAGAGTGTACACGGAGATCGCCATCCTGAAGAAACTAGATCACCATAATGTTGTTAAGCTGGTGGAGGTCAGTAAGATGACTCAGTCCTCAACAGACAGATGGGCTGTATAGCATGAGACTCATTTCATTGATTTCTGGAAGAAAACTGATTAGAGTGCAGTTTGAGCCCTGAATTAACGTGTCTTGCAGGTGCTTGATGATCCTCATGAAGATGGACTTCACATGGGTATGAGTTCATTTATCCATTCTGCTGTAACTGAATTCCTAATGGATCAATTCACAGGAAAGAAATCATTAAAATATGGTTGTTTACCTTCAAAGCCTTCGAACTGATGACACGAGGGTACGCTTTTGTGCATTCTGTCAAAATTTGACTGGACGTTTGAAGAGCTGGTAATACTACCAGGAGACAGTATAAATACTGTCTTTCTGCACCTCTCATGTTTCCCAGCCCAGTGATGGAGGTGCCTACAGATGAGCCCTTTACAGAGGAGCAGGCCCGCTTTTACTTCAGAGACGTTGTCCTGGGAATAGAGTACTGTAAGTTTAAGTCATATATTCATGTTAATAAATGGTTTAGTAATTTAGTAATAAAAACATAGAAGTGTATATTGTGAGTGTTCGTCAGTAACTCCTCCTGTGGGCACCCAGAAGTGGATGCTGGTGTATGATAATGACAATATAGTAAAACTCACTTGTTTTAATATAAAGTACTGTATGTCTTCATAGCAGGTGTTATCATTTCTGACAGCTATGGTACATTAATTTAAAGTTAACAATGTTTCTAGCTGTGTTAAAAGACATTCTAGTGTGTTATAAACTGTTTATAACATATATATTTAGCATTCATAAGCAGACGCTCTTAAATGCTATATGAGGGGATTGTGATCATTATAAAACCATTTACTGTACTCTTGTTTTTATCTCATTGGTTTTTGTTAAAGTTTGATGCACCGATCAAGCTGAAAGTAACATATAATTCTCCATGTGACTGATTAAACCATTTTTGATTAATCAGGTGTGCTCTTCTAAGTTGTTTAATTTAAAAGCCATACGTGACATGTGTGACGTTAATTTTTTGTCCAGTGCACTACCACAAGATAATCCACCGAGACATTAAACCCTCCAACCTTCTGCTGGGGGACGATGGTCATGTCAAGATCGCAGACTTTGGTGTGAGCAAAGAGTTTGAGGGGATGGATGCCGTCCTTTCAAGCACAGTGGGGACGCCGGCCTTCATGGCCCCTGAGACGATGACAGAACACAAGCAGAGCTTCAGTGGAAAGGTGACACAAAACCTCCTCTGCACAGATGTTTTGGCTGTGACTCATCATATCACACTCTGCTTAACTGTGAGGAGTGAGTAATAAATGCCAACTATTGAGTGGTGTTTCAATAATCACATATCCTTGATAATTAGTGTGTTTGTTTACCAGGCATTAGACGTGTGGGCGATGGGAGTCACACTGTACTGTTTTGTCTTTGGGAAGGTAAACAAGTTCACAACAAAATGCACATAGAATTAACAGCCAGGGTAACATTAGATTAGAACATTTGAATGATTTCACTGTCTGTCTGTCCTGTTCCAGTGCCCTTTTTATGATGAATACATTGTCTCGCTACACAACAAGATCAGGAACAAACCCGTGGAGTTTCCAGAGATGTAAGCAAACATCAGCAGGCACTCAGATGGCAGGATAGCCAATAATGTTGACTAGTCATAGGATGTAATAGGATGCATATAGCTACAACATAATACCAGTAGGCTGTATGTTCAGGCCATAGACTACTGCAGTGCAATCTAAGTATTTCTGAATAGATTTAGTAAACATTAAAGAATAGCTCTATTTAATTCACCAACGTCTGTATATTATTATGTATAGGTTTTCCTCCCCAAATAGTTACACAAGCTATGGTTGTTTTTTACTCCAGCATACCTGTTATGAGCAAGCACACCTGCTAGGAGCACATTTTCAGAAGTATATATATATACTTCTTCATTTGTCTTCATATGTCCTTGCTATGTTAAATTATACAGTGATGTAAAATACATGTTAAAAAGGTGTAATAATAATTAATGAACAATAGGATTTGAAATCCTTGTTGTATGGGTGTAGCTTGCCTGCAGAAAACACTCCTGTAAATTCTGAGCACCTCTATTATATTGCATTTTTCTCTTCCACTCTACAATAATGCTTAATATAAAGTGACACTTCAACAAGTTTGTGTACTGTATACCCAGGTACTATATATTATAATGTGTGTCACTTTTCCTGTTTTTACTCTTTAATTACACTATAAGAGGAAAGTTTTTAATTTCTTACTACTGTACCCTATATGTGCCCAGTGTTTACATAAATAGTATAATTTCACTTTATACAATGTAATTTATTTTTCCTTTCCTCTAAAATTCCCAGTTGTTACTCCCTTGTTCCTCACAGTGCCATTTTCTTCCCCTGTACCTACATTTAAGCACTATTATGAACCAGCATTTTATTGGTGCCTGACACATGGTACTAAATTGCACTGTAAATCGTGGGCCATGTTCTTTATAGACTTGCTTCTTTAGCTTGTTTAAATGTGAAACAAAAGAGTAATCAAGCACCCACAGTATTATGGAGGACAGACATGTTAGTACTGTAATTGTAATGAGAGCAGTAAACAGCAGCAGTTTCTATTCTATTCTACATTTAATATCAAAAGCAGCAGTTTCTTTTCTTTATTTACTGATTTTCTATTTCTCTTCCATGTCCTATCATTGCCACTGTAACACACACTAATACACAGTTAAAGAACAGGAGAGCAGAATAAGGGTTAAATGATGTTGACCTGTCTGTGCAGATTTTCAGTCATCCAGGTCATAGTAAAATGAAATAACCTTAGAAAAATCAACTGGACTTGGATTTCTAGATCGATCTAGAAATCCAAGTCCAGTTGATTTTTCTAAGGTTATTTCATTTTAATGATGTTTACCCATTATTTGGCCTCAAAGAGAGCCAAATAATAATACTACATGTAATATCATAGACCAGATATTTCCAAACCTTTTCTGTCATGCTGCCTTTGGAAAGTTAAACAGCTTTTAGGCATCAGGGCAGTCCCCTTCATCAGTCTTCTTTCAGAATTACATTTAATATCAGAACATTTTATTTCTTACATTACATCAAGCACAGGTGGAATTAGTAATATTAATGATGATGATAACTTCAGAAATTATTTCAGTGCACAAAAATCTTGTAATTATGCCTGTGTGTATGTGACAAGTAAAAAGGGCTGCTTTTTACTCCACATATTTGCAGTGACAATTAAAAGCACATTTATCCACAAAACTATAAAATCATGTGGCCATTTTGCTCTTTTACAGGTCTTTAATAAGTAATGAACTGAAGGACCTCACTGAACAGATGCTGGATAAAAATCCAGAAACAAGAATCACCATCCCTGAAATCAAGGTCACAGAAATAAAAATGGCTTTGTCTGATAATATTATATAAAGGAGCACGTGTTCACTACCAATATATGTGCTATTTTCATAATGAGGAAGTTTTTAAATGCATGTTACAGCTACATCCATGGGTGACAGACAACGGCTCGAGTCCTCTTCCTCTGGAGGAGGAGCACTGCACAGCAGTGGAGGTCACTGAGGAGGAAGTACAGAACAGCGTCAAATGCATCCCCAGCCTTTCCACTGTGGTGAGTCACACACTGCGCCCTCTCTGGCTTCTATTTAACACCGTAGCACCCACAACCGGCTGCTGCTTTATGTATTTCAATTGCAATATCTTTGCTGCAATATGTACATTTACCTCTTTCAGCCAGTTCTTCTGCACTTAAAACATCCTGCTCAGTTAAAAACTGAATTAATCTTATCTTTTATATCAGAAATTGGGCCCAGTTGTTCTTTGCATTTACTGTATATCTACAATTACAAAACTTGTGGGCTGGAATCTCAATGCTAATATTTAATTCAGTTGAATTCAGTTTTATTTGTATAGTGCCACATCACAACAAAAGTCATCTCAGGACACTTTACAAAGTAAGGTCTAGACTTTACCATTAT